AACAAATAAAATGTCATCAAGATAGGCTTATAACATGTTATAACTTCTCAGTCTGGCCAGTGTTTTCATATAGGAAACCTATGATGAAAATGTATGATGCTCACATTAGTGAGCATTTCCAGGCCAAATTGCAAAACTGACTGAATTTCAGATTCTACCTTCTCCGATTTGCATGGAACTTTGCATAATGGTTTGCTGTGGTCAATTTTCAAACAACAAAATGGTGTATTCGCTATTTCTCAACCAATCCTAACTCCTTCCAGTCGAAAGTACGTCTGAGACAAAGGTAAAGGAAAAAAATATTCATTAACAGAAGACATATGCACGTCAAAAAATTCCAAGTAATTTTGTGTTAAATACACACTCTTCAATATTTTTTTTATCAAATGGGTTATAAAACATGCAACTTTTGGTCAAAGTTTTAAACCAAACTATTATGCATGGTTTCATATAAATCAGAAAAGGTCGCATCAGATAGGTTCGTCATTTGCCGTGAATTTTCCCTAGTGCCAAATCAGCAAATCTCGATTACTTTTTCAAAGGAACGGTTTGCCGATTTATACCGTGAAACCCCCACGACACTTCTTGAGCTTCTAGTAACTCTACGACCATCAGAAAAGCGCAATTAACTCGCCTAGACCTATTTTTTTAAACTCTTTATTTGTGATTTAGGTTAGCGACTGAAAGTCAATTTTTATTTGTTATATGCGACAGTTAGAAGATACTGAGAGGTTAGCACATATCATCGGCAAGAGACGTGCGTGTGAGAAAATTTGCGAAAAAATCTAAGGGCACCGGTGGGATCCGAACCCACAATTCCCATTCAGTACACGGGTGCATTGCCAATTATACAACGGTGGACCTATGGTCTACGGATGTATTTGGCTAATGACATATGAGTTTCGAATCCGTTTCCCTCCCTTAGTCTTTGTGCGCAAGCGTTCTCAATACACAACAATCGTCTATTACCGACGATATGTGCTTGTACCGCAACCACTCAGTATCGGTCGATGTGAACAAACACAACTCGTCTCTGTTCTACATCACACATGTTGGATACGGGATGCCCAATGCAGTACGAATAGAGCAATGAGCTGCTGGCCTCACCTCCGACCACCGGGCCATAGTGATGATTTATCATCAAATTAATTTTCGATTTAGGTTAGCGACTGAAAGTCAATTTTTATTTGTTATATGCGACAGTTAGAAGATACTGAGAGGTTAGCACATATCATCGGCAAGAGACGTGCGTGTGAGAAAATTTGCGAAAAAATCTGGTCCCACCGGTGCCCTTAGATTTTTTTCGCATATTTTCTCACACGCACGTCTCTTGCCGATGATATGTGCTAACCTCTCAGTATCTTCTAACTGTCGCATATAACTCTTTATTTGTTTCAAATTCAAATTAAATTACATTTCATTTTAACCTAGGTGCTCCAGTTACTACAGTAACTTACTTATAAATCTTATAAATCTAAGTGTCTTTACATTGTTGCTGCCTTGGCAATTCAGTATTTTAAACAGGTTGTTTATACCTGCATGTCAGTATTACAATTTAAATCTTAAAACTAAAAACTAACACTAAATCTTATCTAAGTATACAGGGAATTAATTGTTGCAATTGATTATTGCAACGATTTTCGCCTGAAATTATTAATTATTGTGTTGGACATTTGTTCTAAAGTCTCAACATTCGAAATTCTTTGTACCTCAATAGTACTGTACCAGGGAGGCAACTTCAAAATCATCTTCAGAACTTTGTTCTGAATCCTTTTAAGTGCTTTTTTCCTAGTCGTGAAACAACTAAACCATATTGGCACAGCGTAAAGCATGGCCGGTCTAAAAACTTGTTTAAATACTAGAAGTTTATTCGTCAGGCAAAGTTTAGATTTCCTGTTTATAAGAGGATACAAACATTTTTATAAATGTGTTACATTTAGCTTGAATGCCGTCAATGGGATTTTTAAAAGTTAATTGGTCAAGTACCAATCCAAGATATTTCACTTGGTTTGACCAGGAAATTGGAACTCAGTTCATAGTGACTATGTGACTACTAATAGGTTTCAAAAACGAAGCTCTAGGCTTATGTGAAAATATTATAAGTTGAGTTTTGGAAGCGTTGGGAGAAATCTTCCATTTTTGTAAATATGAAGAGAAAATATCTAAACTTTTCTGCCACACGAAGACTTATTCCTTTAGCGGAAATGCCTGTGTCAAAACAAAGAATTTGTGGCATACCTGAGGCAAATCAGGGAGGTCCGAAGTGAAAATGTTATACAATATAGGCCAAGAATACTACCTTGAAGAAGTCCTGCTCTAACAGGTAGTCGTACGGATTTGGAATTTTGATAATTTACCTGCAGAGTTCTGTCAGTTAAATAATTTTGAACTAATTTCATAATATAGAGTGAAAAATTAAACTTTTTCAATTAAGCAATCAAACATTCATGCCAAACACTGTCGAATGCTTTTTCTATGTCTAGAAGAGCAACTCCAGTTGAGTAGCCTTAAGATTTGTTTGTACGAATTAAATTGGTAACTCTTAAGAGTTGATGAGTAGTTGAATGCCCATGGCGAAATCCAAACTGCTCATATGCAAAAATTGAGTTGTATTGATGTGAAGCATTATTCTATTTAAAATTATGTTTTCAAAAAGTTTACTTATTGAAGAAAGCAAACTTATTGGACGGTAGCTAGAAGCTTCAGCTGGATTTTTATCTGACTTCAAAATTGGAACAACTTTTGATGTTTGAGTAATTTTTAACCGGGGTTCAGATTACCGGGGGTCCAATGTTCCCTTACCTGATAGTGGTGTTAGTATGCGTGGGCGAGTTACCAGTTACACCAAACCGATGATCAAATGCATTGTTTACCAAATCAGACACGTCCCTTTGAAGTAGTAATCGAGAATTACCTTTTGATATTGGTGCCTCGAAACCAGCTCAATTATAACCGGAAATGGGATTGGTTAAACTATTAAACCCTCTCTAGTATTTTTAGAACCAAACTCAGGACTTCAATGCAATCATTTGTTTAATTTCGCGTTTGATCGGTAAGCTTAATAAGTCACAACCACCACTCAAGCCACGTCCTGTCCCACAATTGCCATCCGTTTTTTTTTCTCCCCGAAATCACCATCTCTTTGATGATGAGCCCCGATAATACCTCATTAAGGTGAACCTCATTAATCGAGAACTGTAGGTACCTCACCCCGGCCGCTGGTTGCATCACCACCATCCATCCCAATCAACCAACATCTTCACAGCCGCACAGAAGAGCGCTAATAATGATTAATACAGCTGATTCTGTTGCCCTGCGGCGAAACCATCCATGTCCCCACCCCTCTTCGGTCACACGGGTCTCTCGCTCTCTCTCTCTATCTGCTCTAATCCCTCGGTAATTACATCACGGTCAATTGTATCGAATTTTTAATTTACGTTCCATCAGTAATTCCTTCTTCTTGTACCTTCCTACGTTCCTCGGGTTTATGTTATGTCGTTATAGCCGGGACTCGGAATCCCTTCTTCTGTATGCTCCGAAGCTGTATTTAAGAAGTGCATTTCGCTCACTACTACAGAGACAGCTTGCACCGAACAACCGACTGCATATTGTTTGGAAGCATCCTGTTTGGGAATCTAGTCCGAAGTGCGCTCACCAATACACGGCGAGTGGGGTGATTGAGGACTGTTTTGCCGGCTGCTCCTGAACCGTACCGTGTGTTGTGATCAGTGAGATTTTGTTTCTCACAGATAAGTCACAGTGGTGAGTGGCGAGAGAGGCTCATTGCTCATTGGACAGTGATGAAGGAAGCGAGAGCGATGCGGAGAATTCGCAATGTTGACGACTAGATGAGAGCGAGGTTGCTTGACTGTGTGTGGGAGCATAGCTCTCGGTCGGGTCCATGTTGTTCGACGCGCATAACACACTGTCTGCTACTGCTGGGGGGTGTCGAGTGTATGCGAACTCGTGGTTGCTTTCATTGCTCAACATCAACGTCCAGCGGAAGCATCGAACTTCAATTGGGGAGATCTGCAAACTTGTATTCGAAGCTGGTACGACGTGTATACGTGTTTCTCGTACCGTAGCATAACAATCACTCGGGGGAAGCCCAACCAATAATAGTACGCTTGGTCGATCGGTCGGTAGCAAACCGTTAGGACGGAACACACGAAACGTGCAACTCATAAATTGGTTTATTATCGTGTGCAAACAATAAAGCGATAAATTTATAAAAGTATTAAATCATAAAACGGTAATTAATTTAATTAAACTTTTCGATAGCAGTTGTTCCTCCTTTTCTCGCTATGAGTCGGAGTTAGGCTTCTGGAATGTTGATTCCGTGCCCGTCGTCTAGACCAAAATCTGCACAGTCTATCGGCACCTTGGGAAACTAATTATTTTTTATCTTTCTCTGTCTCTTTTTCCAACAGGGTAGCGAAGAAAAAAGTTACACTTCAACTCTGCCGCGGAAGCTGATCCAATCAAAACCGTGGGGGAATAGGAGAAGAGACAGTAGCCAGTGGCAATTGTCACCGAGATCATAAAAAAGCAGAACCAAGCGCTGAAAAGTTGTCCCCCGGTTCGTTTACTCGTGGCGGAGATCGTTAAAGAGAAATAATAGTACTCCCTCCGATTGAGGAAGGACAGTGAGTTCGGTGGCGGAAGAATAAGAAGAAGTTTCTAGTGAAAATATTTATATGATTTTAATGAGAATCAAGATAAGAAATAATAGTTGGAAAATAATAAATAAAGGCAAACATTAGCTATCGGGCCGGGGCCGTCAGCCTTCCCCTAGACTCCTGTTGTTCCTTGTAGCTGTTGTCGTACAGTGATTCCCAAGTGAAGTGACTGAAGTGAGTGGGTTCAAGAATGGTCGCACATTTGCACCGCCGTCGATTTCGTAGATGTTGTTGTTGTGGTTGGTAGTGAAGTTCGACGAAAGACAGTCTCGCTTCCCCCCTCAGCATCTGAGTGTTACGCGCGCTGAACCCGTCGACGACGCCAGAAAGTGTTTGTGTTGTCACCTACCGACAGACCGTCCGTCCGTCCGTCTCCATCTTCGGGCCGGCACCTGCAGGCCGCCCAAAAGGCACCCGTCGAACCGGCAGCAGACCGCGCGCGCAAATTGCTGAAATGAAATATATTTCGCGAAAATTGAAATTTATTTAGATATAGATAAAAAGAAGTGCGCGACGCGGAGGGCAAAGCGAAAAAATAGAAAATTATTTATAAATAATAGCCGCGTGAAAATAACAGCCAGAAGCGGCAGAAAAACCAAACTCCCCACGTACAGAAAGGGGGATCCAAAGCGTTATTGTGTTTTAGAAAGAGCGAGAGAGAACGAATAAAAAAAAAAAAAACGAGGAAGAAAAATAGTGGCGGAAAAATCTATCAATTTTATCAGGCTTCCGAGCGCTTCCTTCAATCACCCTTATCCCTCTCGCCTAGCATAGCCAATACAATCAATAAAATAACGAGCATTTCGGCGCGTCCGCATTTGCGAAATAAATAAAAAAAAACGGTGGATCCAAGTGATTGAAAAATTGTGCAACGTCGAACCTAGCCAAACGCAAAAGTGGCGACGAGGAACGTGTCCCCCTAAATCAGAGTTGGTGCATAATCAGTAGTAGTAGTGTTAGACGGGCGTTACAAAGAAATTACACAGGCAGTACCACCGCAGAAAAGAAGAACCACCAAAACCAGTTTTCGTTCGTTTAGTGCGAGCGTTCATTTTTTTTCATAATTGTGTTGCGGTCTAGAACCGGCAGCGTCGTGAAGAACCGACCAAAAAAAGCCGTCAAGCTGGCCGCGTCAATAGCAATGAACCCACACTACCATCCGTACTCGGATCTGGGCTCGTCCCCGCACTCGCCCAGTCCGGACAACAACAACTACCCGCAGCTGACGCCGCACCACAATGGCCACGGTGGAGGCGGCGGTGGCGGGCCCGGCAATCCGATGGGGGTCAGCCAGATGGACAGCCAGGCGGCGGGATTCCACGGCATGGGCAACGGAGGCCCCGGTGGCGGTCCCGGTGGACCGGTCAAACACTGCGGGGGCTGTGGAGGTGAGTGGAACCAACCAGCGAAGTGATTTGTGTGTGAATATGTAGTTAGGGCAAAAACGAGTTCAATGTGCCACCGCAAAATACGTGGAACGAAGAGTTATGAAACTATTCCATGGCATGTAGAACGCGGTGTTCCAAAAAAAATACTAGTTATAAGGTGCTTTTGTGACGACTTGTTGGGTAGAATTGGACCGAAGTTGTTATTGGGAATCTTGAAGGGAAACAATCAACGAGTAAAGCATCTAGCATACAGATCGTTACGTTTCAATCTGCAATTTGTATGTTGCATAACGTTTTAACTTTAAGTTTTTTGGTAATGTTTATGCAGTATTAAAATTGTAAATTTCAATCGTCTCGTAAAATATTTCTAGTGTAGTTTTATGTTAAATCAACGAACTTGTTAACAAGATTGTAGAGTAAAGTGGAGCAAAAGTACCGAAATGATAGACAAGTGATTATGAGTAGGAACACAAACTTACCTGAAATTGTGTGTATTCTTGTGTATTTTGAATATTCCACCTAGAAGTTATCAACATTGGATTGATAAATTTTAGATTTTTGCATTTTGATATATAAAAAAAAAATCGAAGCGGTAGTATGACATGATGCAAGAAGATTGTAACCTAAGTGTTCCAGTATTATGAGTCTATATCAGTCCTGCCCAACCTTTCTATAATTACTTTTTCAAACGGCTGTGTCTATGCTCGATGAACATGGGCTAAAATTAATAATGATGAATATTGAATAGATCCAGAGACCACGTCCGCAGGCTATTTTATTGTATGTATCTGCAGACGTAACATATGAGAGACTCTTTTCATTATTTGAGTGAGTCAAGAGTAGTTTAAAATGGTGGATAAATCCATTCTCGAGTTATAGAGTGACATATGAACACCATTTCATTTTCATTTATAGAGAGATGTCAGATTGGAACTATTTTGTGCTAATTTCCACTGCTTAAACATAACGAACTTTCAAAACTTGAAGAAAGAACAGATCAGTGCATACAAATAATATATGCCTAAAGATGACGAAGGTTCAATTTGGGTTTGTTATTGATTTAGAAAGCATTGTTTCAATTAAAATAAACATTTGTGAAACATTCAGTAAAATGCGCACTCTTGCCCCATCAGTGGCAAATGTACGCACTCTGAACCCATTTACTAAATCGAACGTTTTAGAAAAGAATGTTGCCAAATAGTCAAGGAATCGACTCACGGTTATAAACTAAAATTTGATGCTACGGTGACAAATATACGTGGATTTTCAAACTAAGCGCGTATTCATAATCCACTTTACTCTACATACAAAATTGCTGATACATGCGATATTTTGTCTAAATTTACACGAACTATCGTTTAAAATTCCCCCAAATTAAGCTACGGGTGCGATATATATTGCAAAAAATTACATAAATTTTTCGAACAGTGCTTCACTTGTTCAATGTTAACTGTATAAACCATGGCATTTTGACGAAAGTATAAAATATAGTACCGTAAACCGGCGCCAAATTGATCACGATTTTCCGTAATATGTGAATATTTTCTTTGCTTGTAGATTATTTTCAATTAATTTATTTTTTAAACCAGTACTGGTATATATGTAATAAAACCTAGTAGCTTGATTTGTTGAATTATTAACGTAAAATCTAGTTTGAATAATTATTGTTCTAAAATTTGAAAATACTTCTTTGGGGTGAAATTGATTTATATAACTTATTCCAACAGTTGTGGCTTTTATTTTATTATCATTTTGGCTATCATGTGACTGACTGTGAGTTGATGTGATTACAGCTCATACATATCATTAAATTGTTTGAAAATATGTTTATTATCAACTATATATGTGATATCAAAAAATAAGCTAAAATTAATGTAGAATTATCAGTGATTTTAAAACAAACTTTATGAAAAATTTTGGTAAACCGTGCCTTTAAATCACCTCTCAATATTAAATCTTCAAATTATTTTCAGAAGTTTGTTCGATCAATTTTTGCCCAGTGATCAATTTACCCACGGTCTATGATATGTTATTCGTAAATGCCCCTTTTCATAGCTTATCAAATTAGTAAGAAGTATATATTCGATTATCTATGATTATCCTATGAATAATCATAACAATAGATAGGAATAGTTTTGAAAGTCTTGAAGCACATAATGTTTACTTGGCCAATTTTTCTTCTCTCCCATATATCTCCGGATGTGGACTACGTAAAAAAAACTGGAATATCAGGGAATTCATTTTTGAACATGGAAAATCAGGAAATCTCAGGGAATTTCATTAAAATTTGGGGAAATATTTCATTTCACATAAACTTATCAATAAGTATGACTAGGGTTTTCAAATTTTCCGGCAACCAACTTTCCGGGAATCGGGAAATGAAAAAAAAAAAATATTTCCCTGGATTTTCCAGGATTCTGGGAATGAGGAAAACAATGCTTAAAAATATAGATAAAAGTAGAAAAGGTGGTTTTCCTTAACAATATACTGCATATTTAAATATTGCGGCGCTCAAATTGTTCACTAAACAAAAAAAACATTTTCAATTTGAACGGAAATACGCGTTCAGTTTCGTTGCAACACATTGTAGATAGGGAGAAAACACATTTACTGTAAGACCCTGTAAGTGTACAGGGACGCTAGTCAGCTCTGTCTTGAAATCATAAAATAATTACCAAATATTCTTTTTCAAATAGCGTAAGCTCTTTCTGCATTACTTTGCATATATTGCTGAAGCATTAGAGAAGTATTGAATAGCAGATTGAAGTTGTAGTAGTAGGTTTAATATTGACCATTTGTCTGTACCTTGTGGTCATTTTCATCTGATGGTACTTTGCCAGACTAGAACTTTTTTGTTCGATATGAGTTTGACATATTTTTTCGTGATAAGGTGTGCTCTTGGAATTTTAATACCTTGAAATCTGCTCCTAAATATTTGTATAAATGTATTATCTCTCCATAAATGTTTCTTGAAAAAATTATTATTTTATACCCTGGGGTCAATTTGAACCCAATCTCAGTTTAGTGTATCCCAGTGGTGTTTCAATGGATTATTTCAATTTCAAATGTTTTGCATAGTTAATTTAGTGCATTGCACCAAAAACAGTTTGCGATCTTGTATGCTTGAACATCTTTGCTGAAGGCAGTAACAACCTACGGTTATCACTGAGATACAGCATTTTTAATTTGTGTCCAAATTTACCCCTGGATACACTGAATTTTCAGCATAGTTGTCCCATTCGTTAAAACAGCAAGCTGAGAAAAACGCAGTTCAAGAATTTTTTTTCTCCGTGGGCTCTTATAGATAGGGCAACATAATTTTGGTATTTTTCGTAACATTTTCTGAACAAAGTAGGACATTTTTGGTGTACATTGTAAAGTGATAGATTCCAATGTATAACTAATTTTCGCCAAAAATGCCAATGTAACTGTTATGCCGCACAGCGCAGTACAGACAACGTAAATTTTTCAATAAAACTGATGCAAGACACATATTTTTAAGTATTTAGGAACAGAATTCATTTTAGGCATACACACTTAGAAATTTTCGCCGACTTCGGTAATTTTTACCGAAATCTGAACAGCTGAACTTTTCGGTAAAATTTATGCAATTCAATTCAATTGCTTTTCACCTACTTTGAAACTAAATCTCCACTAAAATGACAAGATTTGGTCATTTAAACAAGGTTGAACATGTTTCGATATTATTTTCAAATTCAATAGCCTTTCAAATTAAGATAGTTTTACCGAACGTTCAACTGTTCTGATTTCGGTAAAATTTACCGAACACGAAAACAAAATCTTAGTGTGTAGCATTTGATAACGGCACAAAAGCATTTGTAAACAAACTTTCTAAGGCCCTTTACACGCGAACCAAAGTACACCCACGCAAACCAACAACGTAATCGGATAGGGGCAACTATAACCTTTCCGAAAGTGGTATTGGTTTGCGTGGGCGTACTTTGGTTCGCGTGTAAAGGGTCTTAGAAAGTTTGTTTACAAATGCTTTTGTGCCTTTATCAAATGTTAGGCCTGATTTAGTATTAAAGATTCCAGACAAATTTATCACCAAATTAAAAAAAAACTGGAATGTTAAATTAACGATTGTGCTACATTACCCTGAACGCCATCACCCCGAATCCCATCACCCTGAATGTGAAAAGAACGAGCAGCAATCAAAAGAAGGCAGAAGCTCATTCGGGGAAGTGGCCATGTGGGGTAATGTAGTACATATATTATATTCTATACAGGGCTGCTCACTAGATTTTAATTCTTCTGGAAGCAAACCACCATAATCCGTTCAAGTAAGATTAATTTATTATGTATTTGATCTGGTAGTTGACGTCTAAGTGTCTTGAAAGCATACAGGAAAAGGTAGGATGTCGATCAACCTTCTGAAATTACAATTAAAATTATATTTTCACTGTCGTAGTCAACATAAATCACAAGCAAATGATTAATTTCAGCGAAGGAAATGAAGTTCAGTGAAAACGAAAGCAATGAATATATTAATTTCCTGAACGGCGCCGGTGATGTAGTGGTAAGCGTGATTATCTCTCACCCCAGCAGGCCTGGGTTCAATCCCAGTCGGCGCCGCCGGGATGTTCTGAGGCATAACATCTCTGATCACGCCTTCCTTCGGATGGGAAGTAAAGCCGTTGGTCCCCGGTTCATGAGTTGATGGGTCGATAGGTAGGGTCCAGGTGTGGGAGCTGCCTTCCTGGCACGTCGGTAGCATTGGTACTCAGCACGGAAAACAAGATCGACGGAAAAAACAAACCAGAGGAAAAAAAAAATTAATTTCCTGGGAAATTCGTAAATCTCAGGAAATGCAAAATCGTTACCGGGAATGCAAACCCTAAGTATGACTGATTTCGCTAGTTACAACCAACTTAACTACTGGGTGTAGTTTAAGGGTGGTTTTCCATTTAAAATTTTAATTAGAGTTGCTAATAGAGTTGGTTGCTCAATGCTTAACGTAGCAGTTTTGCAATCTGACC